GCCCTGAGCAGCTGAGGTGAGATGTTAAGTCAAGTCCAGTTAGGTTCTTGCCATTCTCCTCCTGGCCCAATGCTGGATCAGATAAAATTGTAGGTGGGGTCCTATGGGACAGCCCCAGCGGTGCCCAGCACCACCAAAGACCTCACTGCTGTTCCCTTCACCCATAAGGAGAGACAGAGGAGTACACTACCTCCAGAAGAGGATCTGCCCCAGGGAAGCCATGGCTGGGGAAGGTTCCTGGAGTATCTGGGTCCTGGCTGAGTGGAGCTGCTGCTGCCCTCCTCGATGACCTCACAGCCAGCTCCCGTGTGCTGGCCTTAATAGTGTGTGCAGGCCGGGAGTGGTGCGTGCAGCTGTGGACGGCTCAGGTATGAGGAAACAGGGTGGCTGTGCAGAGTTCCCTGCAGACACAGCAGCTGCCGACTGCAGCCAGCCAGCCAAGCCAGGGGCCCAGAGCTGCCTTTCTGAGCTTTGAATTTGGGAGAGGGTGAGGAGCAAAGGCTTCCCAGGCCCTTGCTTCAGGGCTTGTATTCTCTCCTGACTGTGGAAAGGAGGAGATTTCATCTCAAAATAAGAAGGACTGGAACAGCTCAAAGTGTCAGGCTAGGCTAGAGCCTGGAGCCCAGGAGTCCCCATTCCTGATGGTAGCTGATGCTCAGACAGAGGCTGGGTCACCATGGTCAGGTCTCTTGTGGAGGAGACTCATGCTGGGAGACCTCAGGAAAGCCATGAGCTGAAGTGACAAGACTGCTGAGTTTGTCACTCAAGACTGTAACCTGCCTAGGTCTCCTGAGATGCCCAGCTGGATGTGCAATTCTCTTCCAGTTTCATTTCAGTGGGACAGGGAGAGGGCCAGCCCTTCCCACCTTGCAATCTTTTTGAGACTCCAAAAAGACACTGAATGTGCTCTGCTTCAACTGCCCCTCTCTCTGGAGATCCCAATACCCAGAAGCTATTGCTGTCCAAGGTGAGCAGGTCAGCAAAAATCGCCAACGTTTCACCCAGCAGATGGCCGGCTAGGCAAGACGCTCATTAAAGGCCTAATCTTGCACACTCTCCCGCCCTATTGCTTCCTTCAGCCCCCAGTGGCACCTCGGATGGGAAAGTTTCAGGACTGGCTGCTGGGCATCCTGCTGCTGCTGACTGACTACGTTCGCAGTGAAGGTGCTCCAGGCCTTCGGCAGCCTCCTCCTAGCGTTGGCATGGGAGCAGGTGGAGCAACCATTAGTGAAGCTGGCTCAGGAAGGGAGAACAGAGGGGTGAAAAGAAGGCAGCAGGAGAGGGCAAAGTCAAGTGGAAAGACCTTTAGAGTCAAAGAGCCACGTCGAATCCTGGATTCCTGATTAATCGTGTGACTTTGAGAATATCACTTTACTTTTCTTCAAGGTGTGTCTCGCCGGGTTGTGAGGAGAAATAAATGAGACGGGTCTGTGCGCCTCCCCTTCCCCAGAGTCAGTAAAGGGCGATGCCCTGGAATCTACGCAGTGCTGGTGCTGAGTGGATCCTTCCGGGTCTGGGGAAGCTGAGGACAGTGGGAGCAGTGGTTTCTGTAATTCCAATCAAAGGCAGCCCCGGCTGGGCACTGTGGCTCAAGCCTATGATCCCAATATTTTGGGAGGCCATGGTAGAAGGAATTTTTTTTTTCTTTTTTTCTTTTTTTGAGACAGAGTCTCACTTTGTCCTGTAGGCTGGAGTGCAGTGGTGCAATCTTAGCTGACTGCAACCTCTGCCTCCCTGGTTCAGGTGATTCTCCTGCCTCAGCCTCCAAGTAGCTGGGATTACAGGCACACGCCATCACACCTGGCTAATTTTTGTATTTTAGTAAAGACGGGATTTCTGCATATTGGCCAGGCTGGTCTCAAACTCCTAATTTCAAGTGATCCACCCACCTCAGCTTTCCAAAGTACTGGGATTACAGGCATGAGCCACTGAGCCTGGCCCGTGGAAGGAATTCTTGAGCGTAGTAGTTCGAAACTAGCCTAAGCAGCGTAGTGAGACTTCGTCTCTACAAAGCTAAAACAAGAATCCTTCTGGTAAGAGATAAACAAACAAAAAAATCTGCTGGACATATAGTCCCAGCTGCTCAGGAGGCTGGGATGGGAGGATCACTTGAGCCCAGAAGGTGGGAAGCTGCAGTGAGCCATGATCATGTCACTACTCTCCACGCTGGGCAACAGAGCCAGAGCAACACTCTGCCTTGAAAAAAAAGAAAGCAGCCCACATCACACACCCTGAAGCAGAGCACAGAGTTTCTCTCTTATAGCCATGCGTTGTCACTAAGGGATGGCTAAGGGTGACCCTGGAGGGAAAATCAAGACAGCTCAGCAGAGACACCGCCGGGTGAGAGGGAAAAAAAGCGGCTGAAACGGCCACCTGTTACAGGGCAGGCCTTTATCTGGCAGGGACGTGGAGCTGAAAAGCATTTTGCTGCCTCTGGAGAAGCAAATAGCCAGTACTCTGGTTGTAACTCCCAAACCTGAAGAGTATCACATGCAAAACAACAAGCCAAACGTGTGTGTGTGTGTGTGTGCGTGCGTGCGTGCGTGTGCATGTGTGAAGAGAGAGTCTTGGAAACAGTGAACTCTCCAGCATGTGAGGGCCCCTCTTGGCTCCCCTGACACTGTTCTCTGAGACTCTCACTAATGCCCCTCACCGTCTTGTGCCCAGGCCCTTTTCCTTCACCTCTCCCGTAAGGGATAGGGGTCCCTGTGGTCCTGTCCTCTGCCTTCTCTTCTCACAGCACGCATGTGCCCTGAGCGACCTCATCCCCTGCTCTGCTTCAACTGCTCCTCTCTCTGGACATCACAACATCTGTATCCGCAGCTCCCATCCTTGACCAAACCCTAACCCCACAGACCCAGCTGCTTAGTGGACATCTGCACTCGGCTGTCTAGAGGCCCCATCTTCCATTCTCAACAACTTTGAGATCTTTCTAAAATGCAAACCTGGCTCCTCCTCCTAGGTCACCCCTCTTGGAACACAGCAGCATCCCACACTAGGCTGCACAGCTGAAACCTCGAAGTCACCCTTTATTCCCCCTGCCCCTCTCCCTACACCCCTGATTCCTCCTCCTTGCCTTGGTCTACTAGGGCTGTCATAACAAAGTACCAGAGATAGGTGGTTGAAGCAGTAGAAATGGATTTTCTCACAATTCTGGAGGCCGCACAGCTGAGATCAAGGTGTCGGCAGAGCTGGTTTCTCCCGAGCCTCTCTCCGTGGCTTGTAGACGGCGACTTCTCCTTGCATCTTCACTTGGCCTTCTCTCTGTGTGTGTGTCCTGATCGCCTCTTCTTTTTTTTTCTTGACACAGAATCTTGCTCCGTCCCCCAGGCTGAAGTGCAATGGTGTGATCTCGGCTCATTGCAACCTCCACCTCCCAGATTCAAGAAATTCTCCTGCGTTAGCCTCCCAAGTAGCGGGAATTACAGGTGCCTGCCACCACACCCGGCTAATTTTCTGTATTTTTAGTAAAGTCATGGTTTCACCACATTGGCCAGGCTGGTCTTGAACTCCTGACCTCAAGTGATCCTCCTGCCTTGGCCTCCCAAAGTGTACAGATCATAAGTGTGAGTCACCGCACCCAGCCCTCTTCTCATCTTCATATAAGAATACCAGTCATATTGGATTAGGGCCCACCCTAATCACCTCATTTTAACTTAATTACTTCTTCGGAGGCCTTATCACCAAATGCAAGGGTGGACTATGAATTTGGGGAGAGACATAATTCAGCCTGTAGAACTCCTCTGTGCCTCCTAAGTCCATCCCTTTTCTCTATCCGCAATACTATTGCCCAATTTCCTCCCTCATCATTTCCAATTTGAATTAAATTACTAAATAGTGTCCTTCTCCTAGTCTGCCTCTACCTGTGCTGATCCACCCACTTCCACTAGGGTGATCTTTCTAAAATGCAAATCTGGCCAGCGTGGTTGCTCACTCCTGTAATCCCAGCACTTTGGGAGGCTGAGGTGGATGGATCATGAGATCAGGAGTTTGAGCCCAACCTTGCTAACATGGTGAAACTCCATCTCTACTAAAAATACAAAAAATTAGCCAGGCATGGTGGCACGCACCTGTAATCCCAGGTACTCCGGATGCTGAGGCAGAAGAATCACTTGAATCTGGAGGCGGAGGATGCAGTGAGTCGAGATTGTGCCATTGCATTCCAGCCTGGATGATGGAGCAAGACTCCTTCTCAAGAACAAAATAAATAAATAAATGAATAAATAAAGAAAGGCCGGCGCGGTGGCTCACGCCTGTAATCCAAGCACTTTGGGAGGCCAAGGTGGGTGGATCACGAGGTCAAGAGATCGAGACCATCCTGGTCAACATGGTGAAACCCCATCTCTACTAAAAATACAAAAAATTAGCTGGGCATGGTGGCGTGTGCCTGTAATCCCAGCTGCTCGGGAGGCTGAGGCGGGAGAATTGCCTGAACCCAGGAGGCGGAGGTTGCAGTGAGCCAAGAACACGCCATTGCACTCCAGCCTGGGTAACAAGAGCGAAACTCGGTCTCGAAAAACAAACAAACAAACAAATAAATAAATACAATGCAAATCTGATGAGGCCACTTGCCTGCTTGAAACGACCAGTGCTTCTCCAGAGCCTGTGGTCTGGCCTCTGCCTACCTCTCCAGACTTTTTCCTCACGTCCCCTCTTCTCACTCTGTGGACCAGACATGCTGAGCTGCTTTAGAGGATTGCGCTCAAATGCAGTGTGCACTCCCAAGCCATCTTGTCTTTAGACATATTGCTCTTTCTACCTGGAATCCGTTCCTGCCTTTTTCTTGTTTTATATAAAATTTATGGGAACATTTCTCAACAACTACCATCTGGCAGGTGCCATGCTCCGGGCTCCCACGTGAACTTGGTGCCACTTTCTGTGTTCCTAAATTGGAACCATTGAATTGTCTGTCTCCTTCACTAGACACACCTTAATAGAAAAGTGTCTTACTCGCTTTTCTATTTCACACCAGAGCATAAGGCATGCATGGAGTAAGCAACCATTAAACGTTTGTTGGATAAATGCACATTTTTCTTTCACGGCACACAGTAAAATCTCATTTACGCATTTATCTCATTGCTAGTCTGTGAGCTCCCGGAGGGTAAAAACTATGCCTCCTTGATCTCTTTTTGTTATCAGGTCCTAACACCGTGCCAGACGTAAAAAGCACTCAGTAGCATTTGATGGATGAGTGAGCAGGGATCAGCTCGCTGTGTGATCAATCAAAGATTTTCCAGAGATGTCTTGTGAGCTGAACTGACACTACTACAGGCAGCAGAGAACAAGCTGCATGAGGTAGAGGAACAATTTAGGACTAGGACACAAGTAAAGCAGATGCAGGAGACAAAACACAAAATCGATTCTCTCCTTGTTGATCTTAAGGAAAGAGAGAGACAGAGACTAACTTAATGTATCTGGAACCAAAATATCTTACAAAATTTTTTTAAGAAGTATTTAAATAACCCACTCACCTGGAGCTCTATTTTTTCATTGTGCATCTGCTCATTTTCCTGT